CGAATTTTAACCAATTCAACATCAAGTAACTCGTCATTTCTTAATCCTCTACTTCAAATCTAGTTCTAACACTATTTCACACAATAAAACACTAATATCTCCTCTCGATATAACCTCCAATTGTAACCTTTTCATGTCTAATGAATACCTAAAAGTGATTGAATCTAGGCAATACCTAAAAGTGGTCGAAACCTAGCAATGGTTTAATCTTCAAACTTTAAACCTAAACTTGTAGTACACGATTCGATAAGCTCTTTAGCTCATGGTCAGCATCTTTAATGCATCTAACTAATCATTAAGCATCATTTTACTCATCTATACCATAAGACAAAATAATGAGCTAAAGCTTAGTAAATACAACCATGCATTAATATAATTAAAACTATTATTTTTTATGCTTAAAATTTGTTTCTATCTTTTGGGTATATCCTATTGAATGTATATAAATTCAGTCCTCTTTTAAAACCATCATCATGAAAGCCATAAAGGCTCTAGACATGTTCGATTCAATGAATCTCACAAAAGGATTGATCATTCTCCCTTGTCTCTTTTGAACATATCTAGCCATGATCTATGTCTTCATAAAATCATGTATATGTCTTTTTTGAATATTTGAAATCACAACATAAAAGTTTTTATGGTGTGAATATAATTAGAATGCAAAATCAAGCATATACATAAACATGAACTATATAGCATTAAGTCATTCATGAGTAAAATTCCCATGACATGAAAAGGCCTAATCTACCAATTCCTAAAACCATCATGAACATAACCCAAATGACACCAAGCCATTAACAAACATGATATGACATCACATGGCTAAATATGTTCAAGTCCCAAAACCAACAATGAACATAATCCAAGTAATTTCAGTTAATTACTTAATCTAAATCCATTAAGTCATAACGACATCAAACAATTCTATGACAATAGGCCAAATTCTTCACATGTCATCAAAAGCATAAAATCTTCAATTAAAACTACTTTGGCCAAATTATCCAACAACACCTCAATAATTCAAATGTCTTTTAATCATATGATTAAGTGACATTAAGTAGTTACGTAACCCAAAGTTATTCAATTATTCAACCAACCAAACTAAGCAACCATAACAAACCAAATCCATCAAGCATGTCGAATCCACCAAGCAACAACAATAATCACTCAATCAATATTTAGGATGAATCCATTATGATTTTTCATAAACAATCCATCATCAAAACCAAGTAACAATAACCTTCATCAACTAATTACACAATTACTTAATCAATAAGACAAGTCAAATTCAATTAACAAGTCAAATCATTCCAAATCAAGTAACCCTAAACAAAACATCTCCTAGTCGAATCATCCATCATCACCATCATCGTTCAATTGTCTAAATCACATCAAATAACAACAAGCATAACCAAATAACATTAAGCCTACACTAAAGCCAAAACCATCAATTATCCAATAAGCATTAAATACATGATCAAGTGATATTAAGTAGTTATTTAATCCAAAATCATCCATTAAACCAAACAACCATATACACATACATGCATGCAAAATCATGTAACATAACCTTAGCCGAATTCATTCAACAAGTAATGTCTTCCCGCATTAACTCAATTAACCAATGATTTAACCATATCCATAAGCAAACAAATTCGATCAAGCTTCCACACAATCATCCATTCATCAAGTGCAAGCTAAATTTCAACAAGCATAAAACACCAATGAACCCTAACTCGAATTCTTCATCTCAATAATTCAATAAATAATTGATTACATACCCAACATCAATACCAAGATAAATCTTTAATTAAATACATACCTATTACTATCACAATGTATAATCATCAATTTAATGCATACTCATCACCATCGCCATGTAACATTATCCATTAACAACTAATCAAAATCCTAGAACTTCTAGGTTTACATGAACACAATATCAACCACATTCAATCAAAAATTAAATACACGTCATAACATCAAATTGGTCAATCATTCATCAATTTCATAATCCAAGCATCAATTGAACACAATTTACTCAATTGCATAAATGAAAACCCTAGGTTTTACATGAACACATATCACTAAATCAACATATAATTACCCTATTTCTTGTGGTGAGTTGAAGTTATACTTATCTTAGTTTTATTGAAGTGAAAATTACCTCAAAACCCTTAAATCCGCACCTCTCTTCCTTGCTCAAACTCCCGACCAAAACAGACCTTCTCTTCCTCTTGGCATTTCTCTCCTCCTTTCGATCAAGCTTTCTTCCTCTCGACAATTTTGGCTCCTTTCCTTGAGAAATTCAATTTTGCTCTTGCTTCCTCTCTATTGTTTAAGTCTATCTTGCTCTCTTTCTTTCTTAGTGTTCAAGTTCTCTCAAAGATGGATGAAGGCAAATGATAGCCTAATCAAAATTTTCCCTTTTATTTTCCTTTCTTGGTCGAAATTTTTGGACAAAAATAGCCTTTATAAGGTACATGTCCGAAGGTGGATATTTTATACTTAGATATTTTAATTTAGGTGTAACACCTAACTAGGAGATTATTTTCTCGATTAATACCCGTTTATTTTCTAGATTAATACATGTTTAGGTCACTAATCAAATTTAAATCCTAAGTTATACATGTTTGAAAATTATTTAATTAAATCATATTTTCTAAATTTTCACTTGTTAATTAATTCACTATTCATGCATAACACTTAGCAATATTAATTTTGCAAACAAAACGCTTATCAATAATAACAAAACATGGAATGAACATATTTAACAAAATAAATATGCACACAAAACATAAAAAATAAATTCGGGTATTACAAACCATCCAATTTAAGCGCATTAAAAATTGACAAAAAAGGACATTCAACAAAACATAATTTTTAACTAAAAAAGAAAAAAAGAAAAGGAAAAAGAAGTTAATGGTTATTTTTAGAGAGACAATTAAAAAAAGTTATTGTAGAAAAGGCTTATCCGAAAAAACACCTTCCCGTTCCTTTGAATTATATATATATATATATATATATATATTTAACGAAAATTATGTGACTTACATGTGATATTTAATGGTTAAATTAAATAAAATATTTTAACTAAAAAGTTGTCAATCAAAACAGAAAAAAAAAAAAAAAGTTAGAGGGTGCAAACTAAAATGGTTTATAATTGAGGCTATGAACAAAATAAATAAAAATGACTTATAGTTTAAGGTGTATCTATAGGATATAGCGGTAGAAAACGAGAGGGAAAAAAGAAAGAAAGAAAAAAGAAGATAATGCATGACTCCACATTTAATTAATAGTATTGATTTCCATTTAGTAGTTTTGAGTAGTAGTACGTACTATTCTTAAACTTTAATCTGATCCGTCTATTCATATTCGCAATAATGTGCGTGGCTAGCTACTATTCTAACTTCAATCTATCACAGAAAAAATCGAGGAGAAGAAGATGCAAGTTGGTAAGTTGATTGATTGTGGTGTCCAAGTTGAGCAAGAAGCTACATTTGATGACACAAGTAAAAGAGGGTTAGTTGATAGATGATATCCTAATGATATATATGCCAAATTTAGGAATGCATAGAACACCTGCATCCCATGCGTTAGTTACTTAGATATCTGGAGAATAGATTGGAACGGGTCACCGATCCAATCTACATTAATGTGTAAATTGCATGATCTATATATATAAAAGGGATTTACTCCATATATATATATGGTTTGTTATTACATCTGACGTCTATCCAAAACCCATCTTAATGGAGTTAATTAAACATCACTGCTAATTGTTTAGCTATCAGTGTTGCCCCCTAAATAATCATTGTAGCTCAACCAAGGGAATGCATGCATGTCCCAATATAAATAAATAAATAAAATTATGTTCAACGTTTTTTTCGTAATTTAAATAAATCTGTATATTGATATAATATAGCAGCCTTAAACCACCTCAATTTCTTTTTCCCAAATTCTAGGGTTTTGCAGCCATGGTGCTCAACAGAACATTTTTCTTTCACCTTCTAAATAGATCCATTAATTTCATTCTAAAAATTTTATCAAAAAGAAATAAATTCAAGGAAAAAGAAAGGTTCTTAAATTTGTTTGCTTGGTATTGTTCTTCAAAATATGACACACAACCATAATTAAGTTGTGCTATTCTTTTTTATGGTCATATACTTATATATTTAATTTAGTGCATTGAATTTCTTCTTCTATATATGCAAAAACGTTACTTGATTTAACCGACTTTAATTAGTCAAATTGCTTGTAACATATTCTTTTTTTAGGCAAATATGAAAAATAACTGAAAATGCACAAACCTAACCAGAAAATTTTAAGGAATTTTTAGAGTTTAGTGGAAGAGAAAAAGGAAGAAAAACTTCAATGGGTTATAGTGACCCGATCCAAATAGTGGGGCTTGATGAGAGAATAGTCGTTTTTGGAGTCGGCAGCCATAATGTTTGACCAGTCTAACACTTGGGCTTCTCTGCCCCCACGAGCTGCTCGGGGGCGTATTTTTCTCCCTGGAATCTCAAATTTTGATTCCTGGTATCCTTCGTCAATAGGAACATCATTATGTGCCAGCTAACTTTCACTTAAAAACACTACTGTCATCCGAACAAAACAAACAACACAAATCTATATTCCTTTTAACTTCTGTTTGAATTTAAAAAAAGAAAAGAAAAAAAGAACTAATATCCCTATTTCTAAATTTCAACTAATTCCATGATCCCTTTACAGATTACTACAAAAAATTAGGAATAAACAGAATTCTAGGGATTGCTCACGTTAAAAGTCGTGTGAAATATCACTTGTATGTGTCGGCTATGTATAGGATGCTGAAAAATCCTAATGTAATGATTTCCGAAATAAACTTAAGAATCAAAACTCTCCACATCATCCTTGCATTCTAGGGGGAGTTTGCTGCCAATGAGGATGTGACACGAATATCAGTTAAAATTCGTGCGAAAAGCGGGTTGGAAATGGACCATCATCATATTCGTAACCAGTCAAACCAATGAGTCATTACAGCTGGACGAATTCTTGGTATCTTGTTTCAATTTCTCATCCTCTTCAATATGACCAGCATCGTTAGAGAAATTTCCAGTCAGTTCCTTGGCTCTCTGGGCTTGGCATTCCCAGTCTGTTCTAGCCAAAACGAACAACATGGTCAGGACACATGAGCCCTGGGCGGCTAATAGACCCAACCAGAGTCCTTTAAAATCAAAGCCAGCATAAAAACTTAACCAAACGGCAACTGGCATGCCCACAAGGTAAAAGCATCCCAAATTAATGTTTGCACCCATTTTAGGCCTTGCCGTGCCTCTCAAAACACCACAACCTGTTGTTTGTGGGCAATTTCCAAGCTCACAAAGGCCAATTATAGGCAAAACCATTGATGTCAATGCAATGATCTCTGCATCGCCAGTGAACATGCTAGCCCAAATCTTCCTCACCATAACAGCAAAACACAATGCTGTGAATCCCAAGACAAAGCTTGAACAGAGACCAATAATAGCAGCAATCTTAGCCTTTTGAGGATTATTAGCACCTAGCTCATTGCCAACTCTTGTGGACACACTAAAGCTCAAAGAAGATGGGAAAATGTATATCAAAGCTGTGGTTTGAATTAAGATTCCCATTGAAGCAACGGTTGCTCTTGGATTTAACAATAGCCCACAAAGTAAAATCATGATCTCATACCACCACCATTCAAGGCAAACAGAAATGCAGCTTGGAATTGCCAGATTCAATAAAGTTTTCCAGCCTTTTAAGCATTCCAATGAAATCCCACCCCAAGTTTTCTTGTACACGCCAGAGATCATAACGTAAATGATCAATGATCCTACAAGATTGAAGTTAGTCCATACTGCGCTTACCGCAACGCCTTTGATTCCAAGATTGAATACAGAGACAAGAAGGTAATTAATAGGTATGTGAAGAAGAATAGAAAGAGCTGCACAAAATGTTAGAGGCAGAGTAATGGACTGAGTTCTGAGATATATACGCAAGGGATGCAAAATGGATTGAGCAATAAGATCAGGGAGAGAGTAAAGAATGTAGAATTGTGCTTCTGTGGCAATATCATCATCTTGGCCACAAAAGAGAAGAATCTTTTTCATGTTGAACCATAGAAAGGCAATGGGGATGGAAGTGAAAAAAAGCAAAAGAATTGTTCTTTGCAAGGTGATGCCAAGAAGTTTGTATCTTTTGGCACCAAAAGCTTGGCCACAAATGGGTTCCATTCCCATGGAAAGGCCAGAGAGAATAGAGTAGCCTGTGATGTTAGCAAACCCAATTGCCAGCGAGCCACCAGCTAAAGCCAGTTCTCCTAGGCGGCCGAGAAAGAGCATGGAGATCATTGAGCGAGAATAGAGTAAGAGACCAGTTAATATCATTGGAAGTGCTATATTGGCTATCCATGTTGCTTCTTTGATTGCAAGAGAGAGATGATCGGTCTTGTGTTGGTTTTGAAATGTTGGGTCCTTGGGAATCAAAGCAGTTATTAACATGTCAGATTCTTGTACTTTGGTGGATGGGTCTAATTTGCATTTGCAAGAATCAGAAGGTGAAGATAACTGGCACATACTTGTGGACTTACTTTAGAGAGAGAGAGAGAGAGAGAGAGAGAGAGAGATGGCTTGGGGTTTGGGGGATTTGAAAGAGGGGAGTTAATGATGTTTAAATGGAGAGGTTTAGGAGTTATAAGCTGTTGGGGCACATATGGACATAGTGGCCAGCAGACCGCTTTTTTAGACAAAGAAAGGGGTAAAAAAGGGGGAAAAGACGGGATATTTGAGTTCCAAATTCTAACTGAGTGTGGGACCTTTCCAGGCGTCCTTTATGACCAGCCACAATGTCACTGTTGGGGCCTGCCAGAGGAGAGTAATCCCAAAAAAAAGCAGAGAGAAAAAGTTTTGGATTTTGGAGAGAGATTTTGTGATGGAAACTCAAGGTGTGGCAAAATGGGGTTACAGGTGTCAAATATTTATGAGAAGCAGTAACTCCTTGATTTCTTAATTAATAATAATTACTACAAGTATTTTGTATAAACAAAAATCTAAAAAGAGGGCCCTTTTTACAAGGGGATGAAGAAAGCGTTTGGGCGAATAGTAGATTGGATGAGGAATAAAGAGGATATAGTAGGGATTGTCGTCAACACGGACACATTTAAGTTGTGGACGGTTATATAAACCGGACCCATTCGGGAATACAAGGACTTGACTTATATATCGTTCTTTAACATCTATAGTTTGTTAGCCACACTAATGCCATGTCGACACAAGTGATTTGTGATTTGTCTCATTTAATGGACGCCACATGGAATAATATTATGGATTCAATCAAAAGCTTCCTTGAGTGATGATGATGTACACGGGGGGATGTGAACATAAAATAAAACCACTTCCTTTTTCAACGTCTCCATCCTCTCCTCAGAAGAGGTTACCAATTTTTTTCCAAATCCTTTATTCTTGTAGACGCACTGAAATAGACTAATTTATATCAAATTCAGTTTATAAATAACGTGAGATGTTAAGGAATAAATTAAGGATTTTTTTTTCTTTTTTTAAAGGTCGAGGAAGGAGGTTACCTTATTGTAAATTGCCAAGACCAAGTATCCAAATGAACGGAGGAAAGCAAAATTAAGATTATCGTATGCTAAAAAATAGACATTAAAATCAAGCTTGAATCATAACTTGATGTGTAGTAATATGTTTATGATGCGGAGAGAATCGTGCAAATTGAAATCGATTTTTATATACGAAACAGCTCCAAATTAAACAAATCGAATTTAAAACTGTCATGCCATAATAGTTTTTTTTTTTTTTGGAAAAAAAAAATCCAATTGCAATTACCTTGAGTATATTATATGTGAAAGACATGAAACAGTCACTACCATTTGAAAAATGGATCTATATATAACCCAATCCATGCTCTCCTCTTATCGCATCAAACTAAGTTGACACAGGAAACATGCGCTGAATTTAAAATGTTATCTACAGGCGGGGACTATTTTATCAGGCCAAAAACATATTTAAAATGTTATCAACGCGGGGCTATGGTTTAGTCTCCTAAAAGTTTGTCTTGGTCCTGTGGTCGGCTCGATGATGGTGCCGCCATAAATTAATTTAAAAAGGAAAAATATTAATGGTTGCAAAGATTTTTTTTATTTTATGTTATCTTGATTGTGTTTCTTTACTGTTTTTTGTTTAATTTTTTTTTTTAACATTTAGTTTCTGTTTTAATCCTATCTCTTTGTTAACTTTTTAAATTAATAGTATTAAGTTATTTTTTCTGTTTTAATCTCATTCATCTATTCTATTTTTTCGTTTTAATCTTATTTTTTATACTAAATTTAAATAAATGAACTTTAAAAAATTGAGACAAAAAAAAAGAAAAATATGAATATCTATTCCATCATTCTCTTTAAAAATTTTAAAAAATGAAAATAATTTTTTTTTGTCTAAAATATTTTTATGGACTTAAATTTATCTCCATGATAGTAAGTAAATTTTGAGTATAAAATGAAATATTTATAGTATTTTTTTTAAAAAAAGTATCTCTATGATAGTAAGCAAATTTTGAATATAAAATAAAATATTTATAGTAATTTTTTTAATGTGAAGAGAGTTTTTATTAAATTTTTAAACTTTTGAATGATATTTATAATTTTATAACATATCAAAACAATCGATTATAATTTCTTATTTCAATTTTATAAATTTCTTAATTTGAATAAAAAAAGAATGTAAATTTTTGTTAGTATTGGACTCCATACTAACAAATTTCTTAATTTGACTAAAATTTGTAACAAAATTTATATTCTCACTTTGAGTTAAATTAAAAAAAAATGTAAAATCAAAACAATTAAAGTAGACTCTTTAGGAATATAATAAAATTATAATATCATTTAAAAGTTTCCAATTTTAACTAAGACTCTTTTTATATTTAAAAAATACAATAAATTTTTTATTTTATATTTAAAATTTACTTACTATCATATATATAAATTTAAACCCCTAAAAATATTTTGGATAAAAAATATTTTTACCTTCACTTTTTTCTTTAATTTTTAGAAAGAATGTCCAGATATATATATATATATATATATATATATATATATATATATATATATATATATATATATATATTCACATTCTTTTATTATTTTTTTCAAAATTTATTTATTTAAATTTGATATAAAAAAAAAGACTGAAAAGAAAAAATAGAGTTAAAAAGGGATTAAGATAGAAAAAACAAAGAACACCATTAAACTAAAAGTTAACAAAAAGACGAGATTAAAACATAAGTAAATGAATTTAAAAAAAAATACGGTAAAAAAAAATTCTATGCAACCATTAATAAATAAATAAAAGACATTAGCTTAATGCATGGCCCGCGTACAACAAATTGGCCGGTGTCAAGGCATGCTAACATGGCGGTCTGAGTACGTATACGACTCCGCTTCGTCTTCTCCACTGTCTTCGCCTTGAGCTCTATCTTCATCGTCAGACAAGGTAAAAGTTCAAAACAGGAAATGATGAGGGAGAAAACAAGACACAACTAAACAGTTAAGGTTAGGATTCGTTTCTATGTGTATATATAATCTTCAATTAATATTTTTGCCATGTCCATTGCATTCATATTACATAAACTTGTCAAGTGATTTTTTGATTTGGAGCTTACACGTTGGTGGGAAGTCAAGCAAAAATTAATTTACATATGCTATGGCTAAGAACTAGATGTAATTGATAGTTTTTGGGGTCTTTCTTTCTCTTTCTCCAACGTTGGAGTTCTTTATTCTCCAAAAAATGTTGGAATTCTTTGAGGGAAAAAAAAAAAAGGGAAAATTTCTGAAGCATGAGGATAATGCATATAGACAACAAAACAAAAGACATGGCTTATACATATAATTTAATGATTTGGCTGTTTGCTTGTTGGAGCATTTAGATATATATTAAAATGGTGTTTATTGGCTGTTCAGTAACATTTTAGTTGTAAGCCGCCGTTTAATATATAACTTAAAATTAGTATGAAATGAGTTTTATAAATCCAATAGAAATTCAATGGAACTTATTGACAAATTAATATTGTCATTTATGAAGAGCGATGTTTGTGCGGATGTTCCAAATCAATTTTGTGTAGTATGTAGGTTTTAACATATATATATATGTTGTATTTTCATCTACTATATCGTTTCGTGAGTTTTGCCAACAAATTTTTATTTTTCAACTTGAAAATTATATCCTTGAAATCCATGCATCTATTTATATATCTATTTTATCCATCTGTATATTTATATGTATATGATCGTATTATTAACCAGTAAAAGCTATAATTTGGCTAGCCTAATAGCTACTACTAGCTAGATAGGGATGGGATCCGCTAATTGGATTAATTTTTGCCTCTTTTCACTATTAAACCCACTTTAAATCGGACTGGATTCTTGATCCGGCAAATATTATATAAACTGGACTTGCTGGGTTTGTGATTTGATCTATTTTTTTTTTTTCATTTGGATTGGTATTGTTTGATATTTTTATTCATGAAAAAAGTTACAATTGTAATAAAGTAAATAATAACTAATGATATATATATATATATATATTAAAATTATTGATTTGGTTTAAGGGATGGGTTAAACAGTGAAATTCATACATGTTGGATGCATCATAAAACTAAAAGTTTCAGATTTTTACTATTCATACAAACAGTAACTCTCATATCACAAAATATTATTTACCCATATACAAAATGCTATTTATTTTCATTATTCATACACTTGTTTATGCTATTCACACATTGTTTATTGTGGTATTTTTGTTATTTTAAGGCTATTTTAAGACATCTAAGAGTCTATATTTAAAAAATATTACACTTAGGTCCTTCATTTTGACATTATTTTTGTTTTGATTTCCAACTTCATTTGCATAATGAATTGGTCTATAGAGGAGTTAGGAGAGAAAAACAAAAAAAGAGAAAGAAGGAAAGAGAAAGTCGTGGCAAGACCTATTCGGCCATGAAGATTACTAACTTGGCTTTAATTTGTTTTTCCCGATAAGAAGAGTTTATTTATAGTGATTACAAGCCGAGAGATGGTTAAAAAAAGGAGATCTGGATCCCCAAGATATATTTTAATTTTTAGAATTAATTTGAATTTTATGTTTTGTAGGTGCATTAAAATGAGCTTAAAAAATTTAGATGAGTTTCTTGAGGTCTTTTAAGTAATTTTGAGGTATTTTTAGGTAAAAATAATGGTAAAATTGAGTTGAGGTGGCCAAAATTTAATGGCCTTACATGATCTTCCGATGCACTTCCATTGTTGTTTTTTCTCTTTGGAACTATGTAAAGATCACTAAATCCGATCTCATTGTTTAGATCATATATATTTATATATTCTTTGTTTATTTTCGTGACCATCTATAAATTTTTTTAAAAAAATTAATTTTTTAATTTCAACTTAAACAACTTTAACAAGTTTAAGATTTTAGTGTTTTTTTAGATAATGTTGTCCGAACATCAAGCTTGCTATAGTCTCGTGTATTTTGATTATGTAAAATGATATATTAGAGGATATTAATAAACG